AGTAGATTTCAGAGTTTGCAGGCTTTTTCTTGCTATCAGGCTGACTCCGACCAATAGCTGGAGCTGTGCAGAGACAGGACCAGACATCAGGAGAGGACAAACAAACCACATGGACACACCACCTGGCCTCCAGTGCCAGTATTGGCAGCCCATGCCGAGCACCGTGCTCCATACGCTCAGCTCCCAAGGAAAGCAAGCAGTGTGCTTGGTGTAAGCTCCACCGCTGTGGGTGGGCTGGCAGCCCAGGGGGCCACTGCCCTCAATACAAGCAAACCCACAGCGGACATGGCCCTTAGTGGCCAGCCCCCCCCCTCCCAATTTGGCCATCACCACCAGATGCAACCAGGGTCTCCCAACCCAGAGGGAATCCCCCCGGGACAGGAGAGGGATGAGGACCAAGCTGCTCATCCAGAATGACGCCGGCTTGAAGGGCACCCCCTGAAGCACAGCACGACTGCGCCCAACACATCGTTTAATACAGTTGTGGAGAGACTACACGCAACGTGGTGGTCAACGAGCCGGAGCCTTACGGTGCCACCCGGCATCAGTATTGCGTTGTGGGTGTTGCCCGCATGTTTTGTGAGCAGCTGCCAGCTGTTGGAGCACATCTGGGAGCACAGCAGGAGGAAGAGCTCTGCACTCAATCACAGAATCACAGAATCACAGAATGGTAGGGCTTGGAAGGGACCTCTGTGGGTCATCTAGTCCAAGGTCACCCAGAGCAGGCTGCACAGCACCGCGGCCAGAGGGCTCTTGAATATCTCTAGAGAAGGAGATGCCACATCCTCCCTGGGCAGCCTGGGCAAGGGCTCCGTCACCCTCAGAGGGAAGAAGTTCTTCCTCGTGTTCAGCTGGAACTTCCTCTGCTTCAGTTTGTGCCCGTTGCCCCTTGTCCTATCGCTGGGCACCACTGAAAAGAGTCTGGCCCCATCCTCCTGACACCCACCCTGCAGATATTTATAAGTATATATTAGGTCCCCTCTCAGCCTTCTCTTCTCCAGGCTGAACAAGCCCAGCTCCCTCAGCCTCCCCTCATAGGAGAGATGTTCCAGTCCCCTCACCATCCCCACTCCCGGGGGAGAGGATCACACCCGCGTCCCCGGGGGAAGCAGCCCTTGAGCAGCAACGAAGCAATCTTGTCTTTCCCATCGCCCCCCGTCAGCCCCCGCTGCTGCAGCAGAGGGTGGGGGCAATGGCGTTTATTTTTTTTCTTTTTCACAGCCCTCAGGAAAAAGAGGATTTCAGAGGGATTTGAGCACAGCTCCCTAAATAGCTCCTTAGAATTAAGAGGTTTCACGGGGGATTATCTCAAGCAGCTGCCCATGGTGGGAGGGAGAGACCGGCGCTTGCCGGGGAGGCGAGGGGGCAGGGGAAAGGCAGGGGTGCTGCAGATGAGCGCAGGGGAGCGGCATCCCCTTCCAAACCGCAGCATTCGCAGGGGGAGAAGGGATCATCCCAACGCCCTTGGCCGTCCACGCGTCCTCTCTGCTGCGTGGGCCAAAAGGAGTGAGGAGCAGAGTGGTGGTCAGCAGAAGCGACGCACGAAGGCAGTTGTCAGACAGGAATCACCGGCACCGAGCACGGCACGTGCCTTTCAGCTGGTATCCGAAGCCTGGCTTCGAGAAGTCAACACGCAGCTACGGCTGCTTCCCTGGAAGCCAGAGTGGCATTTCTGAGGTGTGGGATGAGCTCAAGCGGCCGTCCTCATCCCTGTCTTCTCACTAGACGGGAAATCTGCGTGCGATGGAGCTGGGAAGGCTCTTCTAGCACTAAGGATAGGAGGAATTTGAAGTGCTGGAGAAGGGGATCAGTCAACCAGAGCTTGACTAATGGCAAATTCCTCCCTGCAAGGCTACAAATGCCAGACTTGGCAGATCCAAACACTCATGGTGGAAACAAAACAGTGCAAAACCAGAAAAGGCCACAAAACCTTTCAGAACAGGCACAGCTCTGCAGAGACTGGTGGAACATGGGCTGAAATACCTCTTCTAGTAATATCAAGAGAGAGCGTTTCTTGGCACAGCACTTTCTGGTGCAAAGAGGAAGAGAAGATAGCTGGGACTTCATTACCATTTTGGTATTGGGATGGAAACTGGCTCTTAGGGAGTGGATCCTTTGAAAAGGTGAGCTCCTCCATGGGGTCCTGAGCTCCAGCTTTCAGCAGGCAGAAAGGTCGAGAATGCACACAGCGGGCGGCTGAGCCACACGCATGCAGGAGTAAGGCTGGAAGGAGAGCGCAGGAGAGGAGCAGGGAAGTGAGGCTGGTAATCATGTAAAGAGATAGAAGTGGAGAAAGACTAGAAAGGAGAAGAGAAAGGAGAGAGAGATGTAATTTGACAGTAGCGGAAGCAAAAAAATCCCAGAAAAACAAGCTGAGGTAGATGATTTCCACTCTGTGGATGGTAGTGGGGAAGAAGTGAGGCAAGAGGATGAAATGAAGCAGGGCAAGAGGGAGAGCAAAGAAGAAGGTCACAGGCAGGAAACTGGGCAAATGGTTAAATTTCATCAAATATTTTTATTATGAGCAGCCCTTGTGTGGGGTAGCCCGTGCTGCTGCCCCTGGAGTGATGTTCTACCCCTGCCACATGCAAAGCCACAAGTCAGAGAGACTCTGGGACTAAAATCCCAGCAAAAAGGAATTGGAGATCTAGGGATTTCCTTAGCCTCCGGGGAAGGGACTTCGTTTTCTGGACCCTTCCTTCTCCACTCCCCTGGAGGAACAACGTGAACGGTACTACCCTTTGCACTGCTTGCCCAGCCACCAAGCCCTTTGACCAAGAATTTCAAAAATGACCACTGGCACTGGTTTGTCCTACCTCAGACCTGAGCCGCTCCAGTAAAGTTGGAAAAATCAGGGTCTTTCACGGTTTTAAGGCTTCGATCAAGAACTGGCTCCTTAGCCCATCACCTGCCTGCGCAAATCTCAGTCTGCATTTAAGGGGAAGGAGGTTACATGACCTGGACGCACAGGCAAAAGCAGGTTTTTAGTACAGCTCATCACTGCAAAGATCAGGGGTTGAGATCTGTTTGCAACGCAGATGTCCCTCCCAAAGAACAGACAGGTGTAGAAAAAGTGGCTTCCTTTTTCCCCTGGTTTATAAAAAGAGGTGAAAGTGGAACAGAAAATTTCAGCTGTACTAGCACTGGTGATTATGGGAGAAAGAAAGAAGACTTGTCTGTGGTTGGCTGAGATTAATTGTGATGTGCTATGATTGCAGCTTTCAGTGTTTGGCTTTTGGCTCTACAAGATCCAGCCTGTAAATCCAGTGTTTCCTCACGTCTGTTTAACAGCTGCAATCTTTTTGATGCAAACACCCCAACGACCAGCTGGAGGACAGGGCATGATCTCAGCTCGTGGTGTTGGAGACTGCAAATCACGCACTCGAGGCCGGGCTGCTGAGAGCCAGGACCCAGCACGGGCTGTGTCTACACGTGCAAATCGGTTACACCTCTAATGCGATGCCAACCACGACGCGTTGGTGAGTTGGCAGGGGACCCGACCCCAAAGGTGACTGACTTCATCTTTAACCAGACAGCTTCCTTCCTCTTCACATTCCCGATCCTCGGGCCGGGAGACCAGCGGAAGGGCAGGATGGCCCCGTGCACGGGGTCACTGGGAGGTGGCCGCAACCGGGAGCGCTGCTGTCACACCTGCATGTGGTGCTGTGGTGAGAGACCTCCTTTCTCCAGGCTTTACCACCAACCAATATGCTGCTGCTTTAGGACTGCTCGGAAACACTTCCCAGCCTTCTCCGAGGTGTTACACGTTCCTCCGGCGTCGTCGACGACAGCCCACGGCCCCCTGCCACGTGTGTGCTGGGAGCTGGGATGTGCCAGCGCTGGCAGCTGGCTGTACAGACACTTCCCAAGGGCAGTCAGCACTGGTTCATGGGGCTGGGTTGAAGCATGGTGGCCATGTCCTACCAGCTGCCCCAGGAGCTCCTGTCTTCCACTGGCTGGGGTTTAGGTGTTGCCACTTCCCAAAAAAAGGTATGAGCTAAATCACTCGTGGGCACTGTGCTGCACCTTGCTGCTTCCCGCCCGGGGACACAGCCAGGAGGGGTGTTTGGTGGGAACTGCCCTGTTCCAGCTGGCGGGGAGAACTGCACAGTGCTGGGAAGTCCCCCCATCACACAGCAGACCTCTTCCCTCTGCGCAAAGCTGACTGCAGCAGAGAGTGGTCAGTGCGGGGGACTTGGACAGCCTCTGGCAAAGACCTCTCCTCTTACCCTTAAGACTGCATTTTAGGGTCAGGGAGTGGCTGCTGCACACAGCTGCAGAGGGCAGGACGCTCCAGAAGAAAAAGGCTGCCCACGCTGCCAGGCTCTGGTGCTCGGTGCCAGCCCCGATGGATGCAGGAAGACGGCTGGAGGCTGCGCAGGGCTGGAACACGGCACCTGAGAGCAGCACGCACTGTCCTGATGCCCTTCTCCAGTTTTGGGGTGATGTCCTACAGCTACCAGGACGCTGGACTCCTCACTGGAGTCCCTTGTTCCACCACATCTCCTCCAGTTATGCATTTGCTGGTCAGTGTTGGTTTATGCTAGATCCATCGACAGCTGTCTGGGCTTTCAACCTGGTGTCACCTGGCTCTCTGGGGTGAGAGCATGGCTGTGGGCTACGGGTGCTCTGCGGAGATTCATGTGGCAAGGCAAGAAGAATAACAGAGAAGCCGTCAGCGATCAGTCTAAGCTCTCTAGAAACATCACCTCTTGTCACGAGGAGGAAGACCTAGGCACCAACCGCTCCTCCCTGAAAGTCTGGACCAGGATGTTGCAGAATGAAGGCGGTCACTGCACAGCGCCCTGGTGGCAGCTCATGCAGGGCCTTGGTAAGGTGGGCCAGGAGGAAGACGCACGAGAGGGTTCCTCCGCCAGGTCCTCTCTTTGACAAGCGAAAGCCACCGTGGAGCCAGGGACAGCGAGCTGTGCCGAAGGAGCTCGAGGGACAACGTGGCGCGAGCAGCTATGGGGTAGGGTGAGGAGGTCCAGGCTCTCCTCTTAGACGGCAGCATCCGAGACCCTCCCGTTCAAGGACGTCTTCGGCTGGAGGCCGTTGTTCTGAGCGTGCGTCTCTGGCTTGGGCTGTGTCATCTGCTGCAAACGCTGCCCGGGAGTAAAGGGAGAGAGCGTGTCAGCCAGGGGCAGCAGTGGTGGGACAGCCGGGGCACGGCAGCGGCTGAGGGTTGGGGCCCCTCGCCCCAAGCCCCAGAGGGGGGCCTGGGTACAAGGGCAAAGGGATGGGGGGGGACCCTCGCCCCAAGCCTCAGAGGTGGCCCTGGTTACAGGGGCAAGGGGATGGTGCACGCGGCAGGAGTTATTCCTCCAGCACCATCCAGCAATCCACCGAAACCCTCTGCAAGTCAGCTTTGCTTTGGTGCTGCAGCAGCTCCTCCTTTTACCCGAAAGGCAGGGATCACCCTTCTAACCGGCTGCCAAGCAGGAGCAAGAGAGAGCTGCAGTGTCACAGGCTTCAGAGCAGACCCGTTTTCCCAGTTGCCATGATTTTTCAGCTGGGGTTTGTTATAAGGCATTGCTAACTAGCTGCAGCGGGCTAACAAGGTCTGCGCTGGTCATGCAGATCAGACCAGTCCACCTGCACAAACCTTTGCACCAGCAGCAGCTCCTGTCACCCTGGGCTGATCAAAGGAAAAGCGCAGAGCCAAGGAAAGTGAAGCAAGAACCCGGGAAAAGATGGAGGGCAAGTCATTACTGGAGGCGTGGGGACTGAGCGTCAGGAGTGATGAAGAGGAATGAGTCACTTTTGCCTGTCGGGGAGGGACTGATGCTGTAAGCTGCAAGAGAGAAGGCAGAGGAGGATTGAGCCTGACCTGAACAGACATCACTAAGCCACGAAGAAGCTCTTTCCAGCAAAGGGAAACAAGCTCCTTCTCTCCAGCGCTGCTGAAGTGGCTGTTGCTGGGTGAAGTCCCTGAAATATTCACTGAGATGCTTCTGCCATTCACGGTCTTTTTTTTCCCCCCTCGCATTTGTGCTCAGTAGGATCAAAATGACTTGTAATCTTTCCTGTCTGTCAAAACCACTTTATTCAGCATTGGCATCTAATTTTCCTCCAGCTCTATTACAAACTAATCCAGGATCTGTGCCTGTAAGAGGCCAAAAATTCTCTCTGTCTCTCTGATACACGCACGCACACACACAAACCTGCTTTCTTCCTGCTGCCATCTGCCGCTCACTCCTGGGTCTGTGAACGATGGGGAGGGGGTCTGGGTCTCCTGATGTGTGTGGGTGCCGTTAGAGGGAGAGCAGGACAGGGAGGGTGCACGCAAGCCGCTGGCGCTGCTGACTGGTGCTGCTGGGTTGCAGGAGGTGCTGAGGCGGTGGGTGGAAGCCTGCTCATGAGCTGCCCTCCGTGCCCTGTGCAAGTGCTGGTGTTGCCACGCTTGCTATGTGTGTGGTTAGCACAAGGCCTTGGTCAGAAGGAGTGGAGATACTCCTGGGGGGCTGCAGGCCAGCTTGGGCTGCCCCAGATGCCCGATGTGCTTTCACCTTCTCCAGTAAAAACAGGATTGAGACTAAGCGAAGCGTTGAACCCATATCTGTATTTGCAGACTTCCCTTCCCCCCCTTTTCCAGCTCATATTACGAGGGAATAACAAACCCTCCAAACATCAGAGAAAGGACCTACTATCGGAATTGCTACTGGCCTTCATCCCCAAATCACCAAAGTGACTTGATGTAACACCCTGGCTTGAGTCCCGCAGGAACACCAATGCGGATCTCAACACCAATAGCAAGAACCTAATCCAAGCCTCAGATGAGAGACCAGAAACTGAAAGCAGATCTGAGACACCAGGCTTGCCCAGTCCCCACATCAGAGCCCATCCAAATGGAGAGCTGGGAGGAAGGAAACTCAAATCCACCCGCAGCTTGAACTTAGAGGTGAGGAGCCTGAAGCTGACCTCAGCCCAGCAATTCCAGCCAAAATATTTCTGAATTGAATATTATTCAAAATACAGCATCCAGAAAGTAAACTCGTGGGATTTAGATGGCATCTGGTTGCTGTTGCGGTTGGGCTGGGAAAGCCATAAATCAACACCCCTGCAGTGAGTTCTTACACCTGTAGCTTGCCGCAGCCGGCATCGGGCCAGGGACTTTTTGCACAGTCCTCTCAAGGCTGGATATCAACACTGTAAATAATATCTTCACAGTAATTACTAGGTATGACATGCAGAGACTCATGATTCGCTGCTACATAAAACCCTGCTCAAATTAGTTAAGAAAAGCTTTTAAACAAGATCGGAGTTGTGGGTCCTGCATAAAAGTCTCCATTGCTTAACCCCTGATTGGTACCCTTTCCAAAGCATGTGACAAACTACTGCTGTGCGTGTTTGCCACCAACAGGTCCTAGCCCTGAGATATTTCAAGCTTCATGCTTGGAGGACACTGATCTCTCTGCGGAGACATGCCAGGTAACCATGCTCATAGCCAGGGACTGCTGGGAATTGGGATTTCTTTGGGTTAAGAACCCTCAAAGATTTCTTCCCGGTCTCTTCCAGGGCTCCAGTTCCCTGCACCAAAGAGGTATCCAGGTGAGACAACACAAAGGTCAATGAGGAACAGTGGACTGACCTAAGGAGAGACTACCTGAAGGTCTACCCGCTTGGCCAGATGCTGCCAGTCACGTGCTGCCCAGCAGTGCTCCCAGCTTTTAGACATCTTCGTGCTCATTTGTGCTAGTAGGTCCTCTCCAGTGAGCCCATGTTGCCGGAGGCCGTTCTGTGCACTTAGGCTGATTTGGGACCTCCTGGAGGAGAGGGTGCGCAGAGCTCCAGCAGCACCTACCTGAAGTACTCTGACAACTTTGTCGGAGCAGAAGCTTCTTGGTTCACCTTAGGTTTAGTTCAGTGGGGGGCTTACTCTAAGCAGTGAGCAGAAGAGGAGTGGTGAAGCTGTTCATACCTGCCGTAGAGTCCCCGTTGAGGTGAAGAAGCAGTACAGCATGTATCCTGGAATCAGTACCATGGAGGACAGAGCCATAAGCCAACCAATGCCTTGTCCCCATGCGGGATAGACGTATTTTCCCAGTGTCAGAGGGGTCATTTCCACCACGCTGAAGAAGAACACACCCTGGGAAAAGGGCACCAGCCATCGCAGGTGAAGGCGTGCAAAATCAGCGTCTGTCCATCCATTCTTTCCTTCGCTATCCTCTTAGCTCCCAACAGTCTCACAGCAACCCAACAGCTCCTTAAACAAGTCTAGATGCTCTCAGCCCACCAACTGGTAATTTCATATGATTTCTTATTATCCTCTGTAAAAAGCTGGAACTGGAATACCCTTGATTTCCTTCATCACTAGACTACTCAGACAAGCAGTGCCCCCACACCAGCTCCCAAGCAAGTTGACAACATCCTCACAGCTGGCCTCAGGAGCCTTCATCTTCCTCAGCAAAGGCAGAATTTCTCTGCAGTCAGTTATATTGCATTTGCTGATAGCTTTTGCTCTGACAAGCCTGTCAGGGGCTGAGGCTGGAGCTGGAGTAGCTGAGAGCCTTCTCAGAACCAATAACAGATTTTTAAAACAGCAAATTATTTGCTTATCTTTTGGCATCTGGGAAAGAAGAATGAAGAACTGATAGCCTCATTTAGATTAAGAATTTAGAGCTTTTCTTACGGGTGATTTACAGGAGGCAGAGTGAAAAAGGCTCCTGTACTACTTTACCCATCTCAAGTCTGCCTAGGGCCACCTTGCATCAGACCTATACTGCGTTGAGAATGTAGTGGTTCCCTTCAGCCCGTCCAAACTAAGAGGTCCTTCTGGATCAACTCCTGCAGATAGGATGCCCCAGGTCTTACCAGGCAGACAAGAGGAGTGAAGAAGGCCCAGCAGATCTTCCACCAAATGCAGGGTTTGTAGCCAATCATTTCTTCGATGTTCCTGTAAAACCTGTTCACACCTACAAGAAGAAATGACCGTTGAAAAAAACATCCCATCTCAGCACCACGGTTATCACTTCTTCTCATTACACAGCACAAGCCAGCCACAGCAAGAAGGTGACAGTGCTGTGGCATGAGAAGCATTATCTGGAGGGGTCAGGGCACAGGGACGGATTTGTGCTAGCAGCTTCCATGTTCCTGGCATCATCTTGAAGGTCCAGAGGGCAGGACCCTAGGCATCTGCCAGTTTGTGCAGAGGCCTTTGTGGTGGCCTGGAGAAGTGAGATGACAGCCTCCCACTCCTGATTTTCTGGAGTTATCAGCCTAAGTCATTTTCAGTTGCAAAGTTTTCATTGGCTTCACTGTGGGAGGCTTCTGAAATAACTCACTGTGCCCATGGAGAAAACAAACGAACAACGTCTTTTGTGCTTACCGTAACACCAAGAAATTGAGATGGTCTCAAAGAAGACAAGAAAGAGAAGACACATGCCACTGGCTGAGTAGTAATCAAACAGCTTGAAGACATAAATGCCACCCTGAGGAGACAAGACCAGGGTCAAGGAATTTAGTCACAGACTATGGTTGAGAACATCAGCTGGCTGCTTGGACTGCTACTGTCTGCGTCTGCTGGCTTTAATGTTAATTGCCTTGAACAGTAGAGTCGGCATTGCAATGTTTCCACTGAAGTCTGCTTCCCAGCAACAAAGCTGATGTGCTTTTGCAGACAATTAGCCTGAACAGGCATGGCCAAGGGTGAGGAGAATAGTGGGGATTCACTAGGATTTCTTACTTTTATCTGTTTTAGATGGAGTCACTTAATTTAGTCTGCTTTGCACCTCCCAGGAGTTTTGCTGCCTTGCCTCCTCATGAACCTACACTGCTCCACAAACAGTCTCCAGGCCATTCAGCCCTGACCTCCATACGTGTGAACCTTGGCTTCAGCCCCAGAGGTTCAGGGCCCCACAGACTGGTCTTCATGTTATCTTAACCGCTTGCAGTAAGCATTCCCTTAGTTTGGGCTTTGTTGGCTTTAGCCCTTGTTGCAAATAGCAAAAGAACAAGCCAGGCTAACAACAGGATGGTGGTAAAAATTATGGAGGCATCCTAAGTCACTTGAGATGTGGCAGTCATTAGCAAGCCCATTTATCCAGCATTGGGATGGCTCCTAGAGATGCTGTCACTGCTCCCAAAGCTTTTGGTGTTGCTGTGCTATGCCAGAGTGACCGGAGAGCTGTCGCGAATGGAAGTATGAGCACTGCTATCTGTACCTGGGTGATGTTGGAGAATCCAATGAGATAAGAGATGAAACAGACCACTGCAATGAAGACCTTTTTCCTGGCTCTCAGGAGATGAGGATACTCATCCATCAGGGCTGTAATGAAGCCTTCCACGGTGCAGAACTATGGGAAAAGGTATACATCAATGATATATATATATGAGTATCGTAGCCTGACATCGTCACCTCCAACATTCAGCTACAATGTTGAGATCCTCATTGCTTGAAGTGCTTTCTGCAGACACTAGAAATGAATCACAGAATCACAGAGTCACAGAATAGTAGGGGTTGGAAGGGACCTCTGTGGGTCATCTAGTCCAACCCTCCTGCCGAAGCAGGGTCACCCAGAGCAGGCTGCACAGGACCTTGTCCAGGCGGGTCTGAAATATCTCCAGAGAAGGAGACTCCACAGCCTCCCTGAAGCCACCTGAAGGAGGCACCTCCGCACAAAGTTGGTCAAAACCAGCTTGGGAAAATGCCTTTCTCCCTCCACTGAACACACAGGGAGCTTAAAAGCACCAGGGTTAAATTAGCTGAGATAAGTCTCTGCTTTCTGCCTCCCATGGGAAGCCTCCCCTTTCTTCCCCCAAACTCTTCAGGGCCTCCCAACCACTGCCTCGGGCCCCACACTGCCAGGCTTTCTGTCACAGCTGTGAGTCTGTGTGCTGCTGGAAGACGTGCAGGACCTTGCTTGCTCTTCCTTTCCCATCTGTGCTCTTCTCAGCCTATTGCAGCAACGCTTGTGCTGATTGGTGACCTAAAACACTCATTAAGGAGCTGCATCAGCCACTGCCCAGTCTCACACGCATGTGCGTAACAAGGACATCGATGACTGCCCAGTCCTTCACTTTATTTTGATTTTTCGAACACACTGCGTTAAGTGCAGGCAGTCCATCCTCACACCACATGGCCTTTCTAGAGCTGAAAACACCTGTCTGGCTTGTGTGGTGCTGTACCAGGCACAATGTTTTAATGCTGTCACAGCATCACAGAATGACAGCATGGTCGGGGTTGGAAGGGACCTCTGTGGGTCATCTAGTCCAACCCCCCCTGCCGAAGCAGGATCACCCAGAGCAGGCTGCACAGGACCTTGTCCAGGCGGGGCTTGAATATCTCCAGAGAAGGAGACTCCACAGCCTCCCTGGGCAGCCTGGGCCAGGGCTCCGTCACCCTCAGAGGGAAGAAGTTCTTCCTCGGGTTCAGCTGGAGCTTCCTCTGCTTCAGTTTGTGCCCGTTGCCCCTTGTCCTGTCGCTGGGCACCACTGGAAAGAGTCTGGCCCCGTCCTCCTGACCCCCCCCCTGCAGATATTTAGAGGCATTTCGAAGGTCCCCTCTCAGCCTTCTCTTCTTCAGGCTGAACAAGCCCAGCTCCCTCAGCCTCTCCTCGTAGGAGAGATGCTCCAGTCCCCTCCTCATCCTCGTAGCCCTGCGCTGGACTCTCTCCAGTAGCTCCTCATCTTTCTTGAACTGGGGAGCCCAGCACTGGACACAGCACTGCAGATGGGGCCTCACCAGGGCAGAGCAGAGGGGAAGGAGAACCTCCCTCGCCCTGCTGCCCACACTCCTCCTAATGCACCCCAGGATCCCATTGGCCTTCTTGGCAGCCAGGGCACACTGCTGGCTCATGGTCACCCTGTCGTCTGCACCATATCATGTAAAGAAGTCCCCATGTGTGTTACCTTCAGATCAGTTTTCCTACCAGTTCTGCCCTATGGCATGAGGACAGTGTGACTGTGTATGTGTGAAGTGCATCCTGCCCTCCCATTTCGTGTTAAATTGTGAGATTCACTTTCGTATCTCACTCCCAGAAACCACTGGTAACATGCATCATGCCTCTAGCAAAAATACAGGGAGGTTTTCGAGGGCAGCAAGCTCCTAGTTTCCCTGGTCACCCTCCGTAAAAGTAAAAGCCAATGCCATGAAAATGAAAGAGGTTTCATTGCTCTTGGATGTCAAGGCCCTCCCTGTCCCTGAGAGAGCGCTCTAGAAAGCGCTGACATTTTTAGATTCAGCTTTGAACAGGGAGACAAGAGGAAAAATAACCTGTCAGTCATCGATGGAGGTGGAGGTAGAGGTACGCAGACCAAAATGAGCAGCAGAGCACTGAGAAGACGTGGGGAGCCTGAGCCATGCCTGCAGCTGGGCAGGGACAGCAGAAGAGCTGGCACACTGCAGGCTGCCAAGGTTGGCTTCCACCTGGGCACAGGGTGAGGCAAAGGGCCATGTTTCTGCCCAGGGTTTTACATCTGCATGGTGCAGCACAGAAAGCTGGTATTCCCACAGAGCCAAATCTCAGCTGCTTCAACTCAATTTTTTAATGAGCTAAGCCTTTTATGTCGGACACAAGTGCTATTAAAGCATCTTTTGCCGTTCGGGCATGGGTTAAGCTGCCTTGGTACTCGTTGACATCAAGCTCTTCACCCCATCCCACCCGGCTCGTTGGCTGGAAGAGTCAGAACTGAGCTGGCACCACAGTGTGAAGAGCCAAGGTGACAAAAAAAAAAGAAACAAAAACCTGTCAAAAGCAATTCCTTCCACGTGGATGCATGGACAGGCGCTACCAGAGCCATGGGCAGGGCTGGGTGGTCCGGCATGGGTAAGGCAGAGAGGGAAGAAGGTTCAGAGGGGAAACAGGGGTGGTCAGGGGCAGAAGGTGGATGTGAGGAGCGTCCAGAGGAGAAGCAGCGAATTAAAAAGATGCCTCACAAAACAGGAGGGATTAAAACTGACAGCCCTTTGGTGCAGGAAGAGGCATCAAAGTCAGGGAAAGACAGGGAGATGGGTGATGGGGAACAGGGCTACAAAGTGAGTTGAAATCTCTTAGCCTCCTATCAAAATCAAGCTGGTGCGTGAGGTGGGGAACCAAATGGTGGTACGCTGCTTTTTCTAGCCATAAAAGAGGCAAGGTCTCTATATTGTTTACTGAAACATGACAGCCTCGGGCTTCAGAGGTGATGCAGCCTGGAGGAGGCTCACCTTTCCAACCCTGGGGACTGTGGCTCCCCGGCTGGCCTGGGGTCCACATTTCCCAACCCCCATACCCAACCCCAGGCAAGCGCACGAAGGAAGTGGGCACCTGAGTGAAAGCACGCAGCCTTCAGGAGTGAGGAGGACCCGGTCATTGCCGTGTCTCCTGGTCTCACCCAAGTGTGAGCACTTGTGCATGTGGGTGGGCACATACACACGGGCAGTCCGCTTCCCAAAAAGTTTCATTTTTCTCACCTACTGTCTCCAGCTGCAGTTTTTAGCATATATTCTGTTCTTCCTCATGCCTCACCCCGTGATATTGTTTCTCTCCTAAAGATCTGATTTCTGTTCACTTTTCTCTTTCACTCTTTTTCCCCTCCAGGGGCTTAATCGTTACACAAGCTGCTGGGTCCAACAGTCTGGGCTCGGGAGTCAACATAGGCAGAACCCTGGTCTGGATGACAGTCTGTCTCCCACCTACTCCCAGTGTCAGGGGCTTGCTGTCCCCTCCTCAGCCACGCAGAGCACCCTGACCAGGACCAGACCGGCACCCACAGCTGCCAGATGTGCAGCGCAGAGCAGTGAAAGAGGGTCTCCCTGCTCGCAGCTGGAGCTCCTCGTGAATAACGTGTGCGAGGCGGCCTCACATGGGACGGACGCAGGCTTGCAGTCGCAAGGCTTGCTAGCTCGCCAGGGGGGGAAAACGCCTGACCTGGAAACTGGTAGGTTAAAAGAAAGAGTTAGCATATTATGCAAGAGGGTCCAGGCGCAAGAGAGCTAAAACCCGGGTGGATCAGCAGCAGAATGAACATTAAGGCACACGAGCGGCAAGGGGGGCACAGGAGGGAGGCGCGTGGCTATCAAAATAGGTCATTCGTGCCGTTCAAGTAACTGCAGACGAGACGAGCACCCTGGCAGAGGGAGGGAGATGTTCCTGTGCTGCGTCTGCAGCTGATGGGCACGGGTGGACCCACTCTCGCCATCACTAAGTGGCTGGGGCTTGTTGCTGTGCTGCAAATGCAGATCTCAGCCCTACCTTCCTTCAGCAGCCGGGTTCCTGAGCGTCTCTGCTGTGCCCACAGGGGGGCAGCCGCAGCCCAGCAGCCCTGGGGATGCAGGGTGCAAGCAATGCCCTGTGGCCCTGCCGTGCCGCATGGACTGGGCTGCTGACCCAAAGGAAAAATGGCTGCTCCCCGTCTGCAAACACCACAAAGGATATTTAGTCAGCGGACAGCAAAACCATCCCTTTTCCTTTTTTTAACTGGACACTTCAAAATGCGTGTGCAATTGCTGCAGCCTGCGTTATTTGTTTTCTACTCATAAGCTGCCATGCTGTTAACGGGGCGTTTGATTGAATCAGAGCTCCAGCACGCAGACAGAAAGCTTCTTCACATGTGTTTATCTCTGCTTTTTTAAAAGCTTGTTTTCCTTTTGATGCTTCGTCTCCCCTCCCCACCCTGCTTCTTCCTCCTCCTCCAGGCAACGATAGCCCCCCACGGACTGCCTGCCCTCTGAGACTGCCTGTCAGAGGGACTTGGAGAATTTCAAGTGGTGTTCCAGAAGCAAATGCAGCAAATAAATTCCACACAGCGCTTAGAGGGCTTATTGTCGGGTCTCTAACTATTTACCAGTGCTGAGTGAACAATCCATGGAGAGTAATTTTTTTTTTTTTTTCTGTAAATGTTGCTTCTTTTGGAACATTTAGTCATTATTTGAAATTATCTGCCAAATAACGTATGCGGTAATGCAGACGTGAGCTTTATGATGTGTTTATGGGAGTGTGCCGTAATTGAAAACCGGATTTGGTTGATGAGATTTTCCTGGAAACAAGGCGTGACATTTCAGGAATAGGTCGGAGTCTGATTCTGAACTGCACTTGGCTGTGTGAACGCCACCTGTAATCCAAGAAAGCATCCATTTTGTGCCGGTGCTTTGCACTGCAGAGGAAGAGCACGTGGGCACGGGGGAAGATGTGACAGACCAAGCCCAGGCTTCTGAAGGAGCCTTTGGTTTTGATGCACTCAATAGGGGGGCACGCTGCAACTGACTGCTTCACTGGGTGGCTACTTTCGTGCTGCTTTATCAGAATAAAAGTATCACCACTTGTAAAAATATGGAGACCGTGATTTTTTTTGGTCTTGTGACAGCTCTGACGGGGGGGGCAGGGTAGAGAGCTTTTGCTACATCCAGCTGCTTCCCCCACAAATACCTTGTAAGACCTATCTAACGGCAAAGCAGCCAAGGTACCAAGGCACCAGCCTTCCCTGAGGCACAGCTCCTGCCTTCTGCCAGGATCTGTCCCCGCTCACCTACAGACCAGGCCAGGGTGCTTCAGCCCTGCTCAGGGCCACTCCTGCTACCGACAGCAGTGCCGAAACGCTGCGTCAAACCACCATCCCCACGCCACGGCAGAGCCCCGATTCGAGCGCTGGGTCCGGCTGGAGACGGGTTCCTCGTGCCGAGGTGCTCCTCCCAGCTGCTGGGAGTGCGGGAGATGGAGACTTTCAACCCTAACCCATGAAAGTAAGCTAAAGTAATGACACTGCCTTGACCACATCTCACAGCAGATGCGGTGTGGTCAAGGCGGTTCACGACACAGTAAGGAAATCCAAAGCATCCAAACTGAGCTTCTCACAAAATACCAAGAGAGCTGTGATGACCACAGACTACTATCATGCAGACACGAAATGAAACAGTTAATACTGATTTCCCTTCTTTCACATACCTATTTTGGTGAGAAAAAATAGTCACATCTTACGAACACAAAGCAGTTATCACTTGAAAGAAAACTTTTTCCTTTTTCCCTTGCCCCAAAGTATTTTGGCAGGCTTAGCTTCCCGCTAGCTCTGCTTCAAGCCTGCGAGCTCAGCTGCCAGGGTCACCCGGCAAGATGGGGACACGCTGTGCTCACAGACAGCAGCACCGCCACTCCGGTGGGGCCAAAAATTGATCTGAACAAAGAAAAGCTTTCCAAAGCTTTCCTCTCTTCCTGTGGGGAATTAGTGATCGTCTCACAAGGCGGACTGGTTCTGCTGGGCTGCCAGAAGCTGGTCATTACTTTTCTTTTTAATTGGCAGCAGGACAAGGACTGGTGCGTTGGGTAGTGGTCTGATACCACCACACTTTCAGTATATGCCTGCATAAGGGAATAGCACAGAATCGATGACCACGTGGGAGGTTTGGTTTCATGCAGTTGCACCTCACCATGAAGAGTAAGAAAAGACCCTGCTCAGCGCTGTCCCAGGGTGCAGAAGGGGACACCACCATTGCATCTGAAGGTATCTTCTATTCTTACCCCACTTTGTCCCAGGGTCGTCTCACCTGACTATCCAGACCCAGCATCATCAGCATGGAGAAGAAGAGGATCGACCAGAGCGGGGACAGGGGCAGCTGTGTGACAACCTGTGGGTAAGCGAGGAAAGCCAGTCCGGGGCCTGCGGGAATGAAAAGAGGAATGAGCCCACGTTTATAAAGCATTTGATGGGAACTCTGAGGTAAGGGCAACAGTTCCACAGAGAGACGACGATCACAATCCAGAATTGCAGGAATTTAATATAGGAGCTAGAAACACCAGAGCCTTCGCCCATGGCACTCTAACCCAGTGGGGTGCACAGGGATAGGGTGGGGAGGCAGGAATGACTGGAGAAATGCTTTGCCTTTTCACTTACTGCAAGCAAGCAACTCATCAAATCACAGCTACCAAATGGAGCTGTAGCGCTTTGCGAGAAAAATAAGCTGGTATTCAGAGCTCGTTATACCTTTTCTGCTGTCTTTTTTCTTCCACTACAAAACGCTGTTTCTTGAGACAAAAGCTTTCTCTGGAAAGACAGCAATTTCAAAATACCCTTTGTGCAAAAAGACACAGTCCCATCTTGGTTAAAAAAATTGTTCTGAGATTATAATTTCAAAATTTCACATGGGAAAGGGACTCCAAATTTTGATCACCTCTACTGCAAACATAGGCAGTATCTGTTCTCCACAGGAAAGCCTCAGAATGCAAATGGCCTAAATATTTCACTGCAGCAAAAGCACGTAGAACTTCAGCACTAAAAGAAGGTGGACATTAAAAGCGGGGGGAGATGGGCAGTGGCCAGAGTGCGATGAACATCAGCCACAGGTGCCTGAGACCCATTTTGGTGGGAGGGCGTGCAAAGAGGGTTGCACACTTGGGTCCCACTCAGGAAAGGCCCAGGAGCATCCCGTGCTCACTGACAAATTGCTCTCAAAGGTTGCTGTCGCATTTGGACCTGTGTTTCTCCTTACCTGAGGAGGCCAGCTCTGAGATTGACTTCTTCGTGATGTGCGACATGAAGCCGACAATAGAGAAAATAACAAATCCAGCAAATATGCTTGTGGTGGAGTTTATACAGCAGACAATGATGGAGTCTCTGGAAGAGAGAAAGAAAGAAAAGAAACCACCTGCAGGTCCCTACCAAGAGGCCAGGAGCAAAAGGTGGGGTGAACAAAAGTCCAAGCCCTGCAAAAGCAGTTCCTGTGCCATGGAGAGGTAGCACGGGTGACAAGTTCAGTGTCCTGTAGGCAGGGAGCCCCAGGGAGCCCCAGGGACCCTGGTACAATGATCGCACCATGGCCTCTGGGCTGCAAGTTGTCAGCAAGGGGACATTGGGGATCACAGAATCACAGAATGACAGAACGTCAGGGGTTGGAAGGGACCTCTGTGGGTCACCCAGTCCAACCCTCCTGCCGAAGCA